TGAGAGGAGCGAGGAAGGGAGAGAGAGGAGCACTTGGGAAGTGGGCAGAGGAAAGGGGGAAAGGGCTTCTCCAGTCCCAGGGTGCTGATCCAAGCAACGTTTAAAGCTGCTTATGATGAGATATTGCAGCCAACAGTCCCGGGTGGTTAAACGTTTCAATTAGTCTAATAAATGTTTCTGCTGGGAGAGGGGGTATGAAGAGAGGAGAAAACTTCTGGGCAGTTAGATTTAAATGAAATGAAATGAAGTCTCTGCGAGAGGGCAACAGCCTCCGAGGTCCTGGTCAGCCCGTTCCTGGTCTCCTGATCTCCAGATGCTCCAGTTAAACCCCTGGTGCCTCCAGCAACTCTGCTGGGGTGGTCGAAGGCTGTCACATCCCTGTTCACCACCTTCTGCATCTCTCCTCAGAAAACCTGGGTGTTTACTTCCAAGTCTTGGGGACCTTTTGAATTTGCAAGGAGGTATTTCTCTAAGGGCTTTCCTGATTTTTGTTTCTCTCTTTTCCCCACACACTTCCTTGCCCCTTTTTCAGCCCAAGTGCTGGAGTCACTCATCCACATGCTGCTCCCCAGGATGGTCTTTCCCTGCCTGTTCCCTGCTCCTCCTGGGGACACATCTCCTGCCCGCAGAGCCGCAGTAGTTACACCTATTTACTCTGTGCAGGTTCAAAGGACAGGACGGCGAGGCAGGCAGCCAGCACAGGGGTTGGAAAAATCAACAGAGTCATAAAAAAAAAAAAAGCTAATATAGTTCACAACTGTTTTACCTACCGTGTCTCCTTGAAATCAGAGAGTTTGTGAGCAGCAGCACAGCAGGGATGTCTGCTAGGCTGGATGTCTTCCCAGGACCATCCCGTCTTCGGCTCTCTCTTCCCTCGAGCTGGTTTTGAGTTTAACCGAACTTTGCGTCCTTTTTTATTTATTTACTCCATTGTTTTTATTAGTCTGTAGGAAAAGCAGGAAGGCATCTGGGGGCCGAGTCCTATAAATAGTGTGGACAGCCTTAATGTTTCGCATACTTTAGCAAAAAGTTTGTTATAAACAGCTTCTCTGCAAATGTTACCGACTCTGCAGGAGAGGAGGGAAACGCTGTAGAGGATGCACATGAATTTTGTAGTCGTGGGTGCGTTTTGTCCTTGAGGACAAATGTGGGTTTTTTATAGCCCTGTGGTGCTCTGGAGTCAAACTGGGCAGAGGTGGGGGAGGCAGGGCTCTGCCAGGGTGGCTTCTCGGTGGCCGTGAGCTCATCTTCCATCTCCCTTCTTCCCTCAACCCTGCAGGGATCATCCCCCTGAGCTCTCAGAGATGTCCCTGGAGGTGGATGGGACAGTCCCACCGATGGGACAGTCACCTCACTGCTGGGAGAGGACAAACAGGCTGTTTGCTCTGCCAGGTCAGTGCCTCCCTCTGACCTCCTGTGGCTGCGTGTCCCTTCCCTGCAAACACGAGGTGCCCCCTCTTCCCACCCCAGACACTGAGCCAAGAATCTTTCTGGTTTTCCCCTTTTTTCCTCCTACAAAATATTATCTTTCACCCTTAGATTTATTTCCTGCCCCGAAGATACAGCAGTTCAGCTCCAGAGCTCGCGCTTTGGGTTGAGAACCATAGTTAATGGTCACGGTCCAACCGCCCGGCGCTGGGAGAAATCCTCGGGGTGTTCTACAGGCCCCTGTGCTCACGCAGGGTCGGGGGAGCACAAAACTCCTCCTGCTTTTTGGCTGCCTGCTGCTGGGGCTGAGAGAGAAACCCATGAGAAGCCCTGGGAGTCAATCAGATGTGTTTTCCGCAACGCTGTATCCAGGCTTAATCTGGAAAAAGCTGAATTGCCATAAATAATACCTTAATTGCAAAAATAAGAGCTGATCTTTTCCCTTTGTTCTCCTTAATTTGGAGGAGCATTTAAAGTCTTCAGTTCCTTGTAATTTGTACTCATTAATTTATTTCTTATTTAGGAGCTTTGTTGTTATTGTTGCTTGCTTGCTTTTTCTTTTTTTCTTTTAAGATTTCCAGCACTTAATGACTTGTTTTGGTTGGTTTTTTAATGTGCCCTGGCAATGGTGCTGCAAGGACAAACACGGCGCCTCTGACACTGCCTGGACTTTAACAACAATAATAAACTTTTCAGTGTTGCAACTTCCCGGCGTGTTTGGAAGCTGGGTCAGCATCGCTGGCCATGGTGGCATCCCAGGGACAGTCCTGGGGGTGGACAGACCTCCACCTACTCCTGTCTCATCCTCCCCTATGGGCATGTCTTTCCCCAGCTACATTCAAGAGCAAAAAACTTCTTCTCGGAGACGTTGGAGCCTCCTGGAGCCCCAGCTGACCCCCAAGGGATTTATGGATGGCCGCAGTGACTTGGTGGCAGTTCTGGCCAGACCTGAGTCTTGCCATAGTGTAAAATATATAGTGGCATAAACTATCCAGAGCAGAAAGAAGGGAAAACGGAGCCTGTGACCCTCAAGACCTGAGTCTTGCCATAGTGTAAAATATATAGTGGCATAAACTATCCAGAGCAGAAAGAAGGGAAAACAGAGCCTGTGATCCTGGGCACCAGGGCTGTTGGGTGATTGTATTTGCTTTACAGGTCCTTCAGCCAAGCTCCCACCAAACACGATGCAAATTGGGAACCGCTCAGGGTTCAGCCTCTCTGTGAAAGGCTGGAGCCTTTCCCCAGTTCCAGACTGGTAAATAATGCATGATCTCTCTCTTTCTCATACGCTTACGCAACCCCTACCACGATAAATATCAACCCAGGGAAATGAAAGTGGAAAGAAACATTATCTTTCTCAGTAATGCAACCATTTACAATCTGCGTTACGATCCTTCTGCTCTCGGGAGTGAGCGGCAGGCAGGGGGATGTTTCTATTAGCAGACCAGAATGCAACAAATCACAGGCTGTAACTTTCCACTCCTGCATAAAAGCAGCCTTAAAACCATATAAAGGAAATAATAAAAAAAAAAATACAGAGATGATTTCCTTTTTTAATCACTCCAAAGAAAACACTTATTTCCAGGTGCCTGAGAATCGGGTATTAAGGACTATATTTTCAAATGCAGGGCCATAAAACTAAGCACTAGACACCTAATCTGTGGATCTTGCCTTTGGTGATTAAATAGGGGGCTGGATGCCTGAGGAAATTGGCCCAAGTGAAAAGGCATCTTGAAAATATTTTGCTTCAAAAGAGCTTGTGTGTGCTATTTAAAACTAACTTCTAACATGAGGTTTCGCAGGGTATGTTCGCACCAGCTGAAACAGAAGCATTTAGAAAGTTTCCAGAGAAGTCTGTGAAAAAGGAAGCTTGAGTGCATTTTATCAGGGCTGCGTCTGGATCCTTTCTTCTTCTCTGAGTGTGAGGAGCTTCATGATTCATCAAGGCGAGCTCCATCGACGGATGGGGAATAAGCACCCTGCACCTCCTGCCATCCAGGTAAGCTTTGCCACTGCTCAAGTGGGTGTAGGGAAATAACTCTGGCTGTTTGGGGAACATCCCAGCCTCCCTGCCCTCCCATCACTGCTCCCACACACTGCACAGCTCGGTCGAGCTTCAAAGGGGTTTGGCAGTGCAAGGAGCTTCACCCATAGCAAAAGGGTTTGTGTCCTTGCGTGGTAGAGATGTGGATTCCCCATGTCCTGGAAATAACCATTTCCTCTTTGCAATAGCTTGCTTGGTGTACACGGAAGGAAAAGCTCAACTTCAGAGAGTTTCATACAGGTGGGAGTGGGTGGGTGTCCAGTGATGCTCCAGGGGATGCAGCATCAGTGCATCCATGTGTGTAGAACGTGAGCAGGAGGGCGTTCTGGAAGTAAAAGCAGAAGGTGTAATTGTAGAGGAAGGTTGTCTTTGGTACCTAATTTACACTCAAACCGATTTCTAGTCACGAGGCACTAGTTTGTGAGCTGAGCTGGGTGCTAAAGGGGATGCAGACGCTTGTGCTGGGTTCTGGGACAGCCCAGCTGTGGGCAGGAGAAAGGTTTCACCCAGGTCATCAGGTGTGTGTCAGCTCGGTCCTCAGGCAGACACGGGCTGCTTCAGGGGCTGCCTAGACGTGTCAACTTGTGACCACATCAGTCCTGTCTCTGCAGCACAATAGCTGTGGGCAGGAGAAAGGTTTCACCCAGGCCATCAGGTGTGTGTCAGACATGGGCTGCTCCAGGGGCTGCCTAGATGTGTCAACTTGTGACCACGTCAGTCCTGTCTCTGCAGCACAACGGTGCTCCCTGGGGCTGGTTCCTCGTCCAGGCTGTTGCTACTCAGGGAGATACATCCAAGAAGAGGTATGTGCATTAACAGGGCTATGTGCTGGAGGCATTGTCTGTATTCCCAGTATTTAACCCCAATTATTGAGGGTTCAATTTTATTTAAGAAAAGAAGGAATGAAGCGTTACAACTCACTGTGAGGTTTTAGGTTTTGAATACATTTTGCTTTTGGTGCTAGTAATCCCTTACCAACCTGCAATATGAATCAAAGGCAACGTCTGTCCCATTCTGAATACGCTCTCCGGGTACCAGAAGCAGATTTGGGGAGGCTGTGGGGAATAGGGCTTTTCATCTCTCTCCTATTCATGCCTTTTCTCAAAGGGAATAAAATGAGTCTTTCTCCGGGCTGCTGCACAAAACACATCCCACCTGTATATAGAGCCCTCCTCCTGCCTGTTCGGCTGGTGTGCTGTGAAGCTTCATGTTTAACCATAATATTAGCTTCATTGTAGGGAATTCAGATCAGGAGGGGCTGGAGTCTCACCATCATCTTTTGAAGAAAGTGTTGAACTCTCAGCTATAAATCCTCTTCCTCTGGCATTGCCCTGCTTCTCCCTACCTCAGTTTTGGCAGCATTAAGTGTTTGGGATGACACAAAGATTGTTCAGGAAGCTTCACAGATCATCACAGAGCTCTTTTATTAGCAGAGCCTGTCTTTGTTCATGGCTTCTTGCTTGTACCGCTCACTGTCTGGTGTCAGAAATGTTTCCTCCTTTCCTGGAGGCATCTGGGCATGGTCTGTCAGTGATGGGAAGCCGTGGCTGAGTCTATCAGACAGCAGATGACAGGTTGGGCAGACAGGGTTCCTCTTTCTTCTCTGCTTATTGATTTTTTCTTTGGTTTTTTTAAGGTCTATATTGATTGTAAATTTTGAGGGGAATCAACACCAATTACTGAGGGTGAGTTATTAAACTTAGGTCATCCCCTGGACAGTATGTGTGGAAGTTTCTTTTACAGACAAGGGGCACCCCTGCCTCCCTGCACACGTGCCAAGCCTGGATGTCTCTCTGATCAGGTTCTGATTTTGCCACCCTCTTCCCAGTTTGAAAAATGGACTTGATAATCCTTCCTTACCTGCAGGGGTCCGGAGGATTAATTACTGAAGGTGGCAAGGTGCTCTGATGCAGTAAAAAAGACTAAAGAACCATCTAAAACAGGGTGGAAGAGGGAGCTGAACCCTGGGAATGATGGAACTGAAATCTTAATAAGTGTTGACACTCTCTGGAAAGTTAAACCTTGGTCCTGTTGCTCTAAGACAGCCCCAGCAAGGCTGTCCTCACCTCCGAGCAGCACTGGGGTTTGCTGTGCCCATGCCTCCCTGCTTACGTGGCTTAATAAATTAGATATGCTGCTCGAGGTTGATTATTTATTATTGGTCTTGGTGTGAGCTCAGGCTGCTTGCAGCATTAGCTCAGACAAACAACCATCACAGCAACGGGGCTGGCTCACAGGCTCTTGGGTGTCCCTCGGAGATAGGAACAGCAGATCAAATTATAGACGAGCTCATCGCCCTTCTCAGACTGGGCAAAAACTTTCGAGTTTTAGATAAACTTTGTTTTGGGAAGTACCAGACTCTCAGGGTGACTGGCTACTGCTCTAAGTCGTGTTTTCCATCTATGACCGTGGAAAAAATTAAGGGAAAATTGAACAGAGTGTTCCTCAGCAGGCCAGGGAATTTGGGAGTTTAATTGTTTGTGTGCTGCTTGATAAAGAAGAACAGTTTTATAATTTCTAATTTGTCATTCATGAGATACTGACTCAACAAATTACATTGCTCATTATTTTTAACTCAAAGGTCTTTTTGGTGTTAAGATAGAAACCTTCTGTAAAACACATGGAGCACCTCTGGAAGTGGGTGGCCTGCCCACAGCAAGGGATGGTCAATCCTCAGCAGAGCCAAGGTTTCCATCAGCTGAACTCTTGTCTCCCAAACTGAAGTCATCCGTCGGATGGCAGAACAAAAGGGTTTGTCTCATTTTTTTTATTAAATCCTTTATTAAGAAAAAACACCTCTTCGCTTTTTCTACTCTCCAAAATCACCTGCAGATGAACAAGAAAACGATAAAGTTGTAGTTTCAATTCCTACTGCAGAGCTGATCTAAAAAAGTTGCACTCTTCACTGGACATATTTGCTAAAAAAGCTGGAAAAAGGCTCATAGACCTGTACGTCAGGTTTGTTTATTCCTCCTTATGTGATGGAGTCTGAATCCTGGAGAAGAGCTTGATATATATTATCAGAGCTCTATTTTTAGGCTCTATTTAATTATATAAGTGACTATGCAATATCCCTGCCTGGAGCAGACCCAGCCTTGAATCAGAAGAAATCAGTCAATTTTTCTTATATTCCTCATTTCTAGGGCTCCCCCTAAGCCTCAGAGCACTCTCTCCTTGTTTCTATGGCAGGTTACTGGCTACGACTTTACGGAAAGCACGGTTTGCTTTTGGTTATTTGTGTGTTTGTATAAACCAGGAGGAAGAGGAAAGCCCAGTTGCCAGGCAGAGATGGGAAAAGAGATCTGTGAGCAGAAATCCTGGCTGGAAACATCTGTGGAAGGGAAAACACTCATCATCTTGGGTCTCCAGTTAATGTGGCTTAACCTTGTAAGTCCTCTTCACTCTCTTCATTAATTCTGATGGCTTGGTGTCTTTGGCTCTTGTTGTCTAGGAGTGTAATTATCATTAGTAAAGGTAAGGTAGCTGCCCGTGGTTGCCAAATGGGATGGGACTGCACCATTCTGGAGCAGCCCTCACTTCAGGAAGCTGTGGAGAGGTGTTCCATCGTAGGGTGGTGGCTCCTCTCTGGGGATGCAAGCACCTGGTGGCCACCAGCCACCACCCAGGGAAGCTGTAAAAAATGCCCTCAGCAAAGATGGTCTAAAACTTATGCTTCTGGAATACACTTAGAAAGAAAATCTATCAGCATGCGACAGGGGTTATTTTAATAATCTAAAATCTCATTGCTTCGGGAACATTGCTCTTTCATGGAGTAAACAAGTTGGTTTAAATCTCTTTGCTTATTAAGAAAAAAACACCTCTTCGCTTTTTCTACTCTCCAAAATCACCTGCAGATGAACAAGAAAACGATAAAGTTGTAGTTTCAATTCCTACTGCAGAGCTGATCTAAAAAAGTTGCACTCTTCACTGGACATATTTGCTAAAAAAGCTGGAAAAAGGCTCATAGACCTGTACGTCAGGTTTGTTTATTCCTCCTTATGTGATGGAGTCTGAATCCTGGAGAAGAGCTTGATATATATTATCAGAGCTCTATTTTTAGGCTCTATTTAATTATATAAGTGACTATGCAAGATCCCTGCCTGGAGCAGACCCAGCCTTGAATCAGAAGAAATCAGTCAATTTTTCTTATATTCCTCATTTCTAGGGCTCCCCCTAAGCCTCAGAGCACTCTCTCCTTGTTTCTATGGCAGGTTACTGGCTACGACTTTACGGAAAGCACGGTTTGCTTTTGGTTATTTGTGTGTTTGTATAAACCAGGAGGAAGAGGAAAGCCCAGTTGCCAGGCAGAGATGGGAAAAGAGATCTGTGAGCAGAAATCCTGGCTGGAAACATCTGTGGAAGGGAAAACACTCATCATCTTGGGTCTCCAGTTAATGTGGCTTAACCTTGTAAGTCCTCTTCACTCTCTTCATTAATTCTGATGGCTTGGTGTCTTTGGCTCTTGTTGTCTAGGAGTGTAATTATCATTAGTAAAGGTAAGGTAGCTGCCCGTGGTTGCCAAATGGGATGGGACTGCACCATTCTGGAGCAGCCCTCACTTCAGGAAGCTGTGGAGAGGTGTTCCATCGTAGGGTGGTGGCTCCTCTCTGGGGATGCAAGCACCTGGTGGCCACCAGCCACCACCCAGGGAAGCTGTAAAAAATGCCCTCAGCAAAGATGGTCTAAAACTTATGCTTCTGGAATACACTTAGAAAGAAAATCTATCAGCATGCGACAGGGGTTATTTTAATAATCTAAAATCTCATTGCTTCGGGAACATTGCTCTTTCATGGAGTAAACAAGTTGGTTTAAATCTCTTTGCCGCAAGTTCACAGAAATAATTTTGAAAACCAGTATCAGTTAGACTAACAATATTATCTGTTTCATAACTATAACAGTGTTCATAAAAGGAAAAGTGCATAAAGCAAATAGAAATACCTCAAATCTCAGCCCTTTGAAATATTTACAACTAATGCCTCCCTCTTAGTATATTAAACTTCACCTGACAACTTTCCAGAGGAAAATAGTGTTATCAAATGCTTCTTTTTGAGACAATGCAAGGAGATGTTGTTACTCAGTCATGTTCCTTGCCTAGAGAGAAGCAAATACATTCCCGTTGTATTTTAATTAGTTCTGAACCTATGCTGGTGAGAAATAGAGTACAGTACTGTTATTAAAATTCATGTTTTATAATCAGTACAGTTAGTACGGTCTCTGAGAACAGCAAAGTAAAGTACTTTTAACTTTGGTTCACCGTGGAATTATCTAACTCTTGCCACCCATTGTTAAATTTTTAAGTAGAAAGAAATGTTGCAATTGTAACGAGAAATCATTACGTTGAGATCTTAAAGAAAAAGCTTGTGATTCTTCTGAAAGGCAACCCATTAATTATGAATGCTCATTAATTATAACAAATTGTCTGCCATAAAATCTCTTTAGCTGAACTTTTGAACTGAACTTCAGTAAGGCACTTTTGACAAATAGAGAAAGGACTGCCCCTTTCAAAAGTTTGAGATTTTATCTCTCATGGCATCTATATTTAAAATTAAGCAAAGTGACTAATGAAGCTAAGAAACTCATTCTTTAGAAGATCAAAGTCATAAAATTCCTTTAGTTCCCTTCAAGACAAAATTATGAATTATTGTTAAGAGATTTTTCCTTGTAACTTTTATTCCTGTAACTGTTTCATTTTAAAACCTCTCTAATTGTTCTCCAAGATGGTCTTCCTTTGTATTTTGCTGTAAAATAATTTGCTGAAGCGTCAGGAATTTTAAAAAAATCTCTAGGACAAAACTTATCATATGTTCCTCTTAACATATATTCTTTTTAAGAACCAAAGTAACACCGTATTCCTCCTTAATAAAACCCAGCACAGGGTGTTTGGTTTAACAGAGATCTCTGCTGGCATTAGAGTACACAAAATCCACGTTTGTAGAAAGAGGGGGATAAATCTTGGTATTTTTGTTTAGCATTTGTACTTCTGGTTTTCTCCACTCTGAACTGCCTCGGTATTCTCTTTTTGTGGCTTGAGACTCTTTTGCTGAACATTTATAGGGTAAATTTCAGGTGTATTTTTTAAAACCAGCCTTCCCAAGTGTTGGGTTTTATGTCCCATCCATTTCTGGGGGGATCCTGCAGAGTAGGGAGGGCTGGGGACGTGAACCTCAGGAGCGCAGATGCTTTGTGCGTGCAGTCAGCTGTGTGGCTGTGATACAGACACATTTGGGTGTAGTTTTTGTTTAGCTTTAATTGGAGTTTTTAACTCTTCCAGGGCCAGGTTACTCCTACAGCCACTTTCATTGCTTTGCCCTGTCTAGTATTGTGTTGGGCTGCAGTATCACAGATCTATGCGGTACCCATTCTGTAGCCTGGAGGGACACATCACTTCAATTACTGACAAATTTCCATGGAAGTATTTTTCCCTTTGATATTTTAGAAAGATCTCGTAGGATGAAAATGTTGCATCAATATTTTTAATGGTTATTTAGAGAGCAAAGTGTTTGGACATGCTTGAAAATATTGCTGGGCACCTATTTGCATGTGTAGGTGCTTCAATATCTGAGAAAAACGACCATCTGGTGTCTCTGGACTTAGATCCTCAGAAAATATGTAGACTACTGAAATGAAGGGAATTTAGGCACATACATTTCTTTTGATGATTTGTTCAACTTTTAATGTCTCTATCTCGAATGTGCGGAGGAAGAATATTCAAAAGACTTTGAAAGGCTCTGGTAGCTTTGTACTGTCTAGATGTGTTTTACAGATAACATTGTAGAATATTATTGGGGGAAAAAAAACCCATATATTTTGTACAAGTATTCTGCCCTCCATTTATAACATACATTTGAGCTCTTACTTTATAAAATAAATAATTGCTTACCTCATGCCAAAGTAGTATTGCCAATTAGTATTAATTCTAAGTCAATTAATTTCTGAAATAACTTTGAGCTACTTCAAGCTGCTTCTCAAGGATTTTTTCTTTTTTCTTCCAGTGTCTTCTAATAGAATTTCAGATTTGCTCTTTTAATTTATGTCAATCTCCTGGGTTGGCTATAAGAGAGGATTTGGCCTCAGAGTGCTGGAATACAAATCATTTTGATGTTGGAATCTTGCTTTAAGCAAACCTTTGCTTGGTGCAGAAGACAAAAGCATTAGTACCCAATGCAGAATGTTTCTGGTCTGTGCATCATGTCACCGGGAAAAACCCCACTCCTAAACCTATGAGTTGTTCCAACTTCTACAGGGGGAAGCCTGGGACAGGGAATTAGTGAAGTTATTATTAATTTCAGTGGTGGCTCTTTAAATATAGGACAATGTATTGATTCTGAGCCTGTTACATGACCGTTTTCCTGCAGTGTTGGTGGTATTTACTGCCAAAATTAATTAGATAATCATTGATGCTGGGCCAATTCCCTGACTTGCACGTTGTCAATGAGGTAGAAATCCAAATGTTCGCCCACTCTCTAAACCACTTTCTTTCTCTCTGACACCATCAGAAGCACATTGACACGTCTTGTGGATTATGTGGAAGAAAATCAGATATTCCTTCCTCTTCACTCTGATGGAAAAAAAGCCCCACGATTCCTAACTGTATAATCGTTTCCTATAAAATAAATTACTTATCTGTCTTAATACTGTCACACTTCTGTTCTCCAGTGTTCTACTTCTTCCATCTGTGTGCATAACTGTAATCTTTTCTACACCTACTCTATGTACTCTCAAGTGTCAAAATCTACCCTCAATCATTCCTGTCATTAGTCTCTTGTTCCTGACGGGGTAGCGGGCAAAACATCACATTCCTCAGACCTCTTCAGATGATTGCCGGGCTGGCTTTGCACAGTTTAACTGAGCTATCAGAAATATGATGAGGCTGAGTTTTGTTTTGATTTTTGTCACCTCAAATTTTCTACTTATTACTCTTGAAACTGTTTTTTGGGGTTTTTTATCGCTCTGTGTGTGTCTTGTCTCCATCATGACTGCTTGCCGCAGCTAAGCGTAACTTCAGGAGATATCCACATTACCCAAATCCCGTGAAAGTTGACTTGCTGTTTCTTATTGAGTAATTCCGTGTGACTCATGCTTTGTTCCCTGATATAATTTTTTACACTCATTTGCAGCATATTGTTCAGACAATTGAGCTTACTTACCCAAATCACCATCTTTTGTAGCGAGACGGTGCAATCACTTCCCTCGTTGCAAGAACAATGGGGTGACCCATAAATTAGACCATCTTGTTGTCCTTAAAATACAGATTATATTTGACTAAACAAAATAACTGCAGGAAAAAAGAAACCCTCTTGGAAGCTATGCATCTTCATAGTTTAATGTGATGACGTGCCTCTCCTGCTGAGCCGTGACCTACTTTGCTCACAAAATGCTCTCATTACCTTCCCCCAAACACGAGACTGTTGGAGCCTCAGGAATTCTTCACCTCGGGATCCGAAGTGTCAATCACTAATGAACGGGTCTGTGAATCCCTCCGTCGGGCACTGCGCTGCTTATCACGTCTCATGTAAATACCCCCTCTTCTCCTACAGTTGCTGTTTGTATAATTTCTTGTCTCTGCTCCAGATTCCAGCCTCTACCCTTCAGAGCTGGATAAATTTTGCCATCTTGTGAGAGATATTGATATTTTTTTTATCAGCTCAATTAAAATGTTTTGCTTTGCTACTTCAAAACATTTATTTCTCTTTTTTTTCCCCTCTTTCCTTTTCTATTATTGAAAAGGAATCCTTCTCCCCTACTCAATATATTATGTATATCAAAACTGGGTAGGATGCCTGCTGATGGAAAATCAGGAGACAAGATATTAAGCATCAACAGCCATGGGAATGACCTACAACATATGGGATGTTTGGTAATTATCCAGCCTATATTATGTAAGACATAAAATCATGCAGCTCTGCTAAAATATGCAAGGAGAGAGGAGGAAAATGATGGCAAATGACTGCTCCCAAAGATAAAGGTCCTTAACTCTTCTTTCATATTTTTTGGCTCTTCAACAAATGCCTAAAATCCGCCTGTTGAATTCAAGTTTGTCACATTGCAAAGACTTGACTTTGAAAGGTGTTTATTGACAAAAGAAGAGATGTTTGCAGCGTAAATATCCACAACTAAGAATGATTTCCAAATGTGTGACTGCAGGGATTGGCTGTAAAAGGAAGCCTGTGCTGGTCTAACTCTTCTCCTGTTGGAGTCAGGGGAAAATTTCTGATGTATGTCAGAAGACTGAAGGGTAAGCTGTGGACTTTCAAAAAATCCTCCCACTCTCAATGTGTGCTATTTTATGTCCAAATGAGGCAGGCACTTATGCTTCCAGAGAGGTGAAGTCATCTGAGTAAAGCAAACTTACAGCAAGGAGATCTGTAAATTTACGTACAGAATAGATCTCTTAGTAACGAAAAATTGGGACATGCTGTCCTAACAACAGTGCATGTTGAGTTGGACACTACAATACAGTGAATGGGGTGGGCAAGTCTGCAGAAGACCCAACTGCAGAAGAAGTCTGCAGTTTCCACTGTCACAATTTTGTTCAGAATTTTTTTTAAAAGACCCTGACGTTTCCTGGCCTGTCTCAAAAATCTGCTCAGCAGCCCTCAAACACATATTCAAATTCTTGTCTTAGTTTCTTAGTTGAGTGTCACAACACTCATGTTATGTTCAGAATTTTTTTTAAAAGACCCTGACGGTTCCTGGCCTGTTTCAAAAATCTGCTCGGCAGCCCTCAAACACATATTCAAATTCTTATCTTAGTTAAGTGTCACAACACGCATGTTGGTCTGCAGTTTCCACTGTCACAATTTTGTTCAGAATTTTTTTTAAAAGACCCTGACGTTTCCTGGCCTGTCTCAAAAATCTGCTCAGCAGCCCTCAAACACATATTCAAATTCTTGTCTTAGTTTCTTAGTTGAGTGTCACAACACTCATGTTAAGACTTGAGTTTGTCTATCAGGTTGTGCATTTGCAACTCACAATCAAAGGTACCAATCATAACCACATCTCATCCACAAGGAATCCAGGCTCCTGGAGAGGACAACTCAGCAGAGCTGTGAGGAACCTCTTCCTTGGTTACGGGGAATCTCGGCCCCTTCCTTGGTGCTTGGGGAAATGCCTCACATTGGTGGAAAGACTATCCAGTCCTGTGACTTCTACAAGGAATTGTTTTTCCCCCAAATTACTTAATGTTGTTGAACCTAGTAGTGCATTGGAAAATCAGCTTCCATGCATAGTGATTTAAGGACCCCGAATTAATTTGCAAACTCCTCCTGGGAGCTGGTCCAGTGTGTATGTAATTTCCTCCTTGAATCGGAACTTTGAATTACATTAAAGAGTCTTATTTCACATTTATCAGATTGAAATTTGGATGCCGCTATTTTGTTGGCAAGTAGAAGTATTGTGTAATAATATATACCATTATTTTTTAAAACCTGAGTCTTCATAATTAAAGAAGATGTATACAGAAGCAGCAGAGTGAAGGTCAAGGTATTTATAGACAGTGTGTTTAACAATACAGCCCAAATGATCAGTCCTGGAGTATTCTGTTGCAGTAAGGTATATCCTTCCATGTTTTAAATAGTCAGGAGTCACCCTTTGCAATAATTCTCAAACTCTTTACTCTAGTACTTATGAATTCATTTTGTATTATGCGTTGCCTGCTTATGATATTGCTTTACTTGGATTTACAGAACTCATCCTTGCATACAGAAAGAAGCTGTCTGCACTGTATCTTCTAGGAATAAAAGGCTGTAATCTGCCGTACTTGGGTTAATAAATATTTTATTATTCACAGTTTCAAATATTCTCCTGGTGAATCTCAGCAGCTGTGCTTTCTGAAAATAATGCCTGATTGAAGGATGAAAATTGCCTTCCAAGTTATGAGAAACAAACACAACCCAGCACTGCCCTTCCTCAAGAAACCCCCACAGAATAGTTGGAGCGTTGCTGCATTTTTCCTCTCGCTGCAGTGTACTTCTACCCAGTGCCACACATTGTATTGAGAGAACTTCATTTATAAGAAATAAGTGAGCTATAATAAATAACTCCTCTCTGAGCTTGCAGGAGCCTCAACATCTTCCATGGCAGCAGAGCCAAATGGTGACATCCTGTGCTGTTCTCTCCAAGGAAAAATATGAGCTCCTCGACCCGGAGGTAACTCCGCAGCGCAGAGATGGAGGGACGACAACCAGATCCCTTGTGGTCCCACTGGGTCAGCTCACAGGTGAGAGAGGGTGTGAGAGGAGGAGGGTGTGGGGTAGATGAGGAACTTCCTCCTAGCACCATCTTGGCCCAGAGATGCTCAAGAAAATAGTTCATTCAACAGCCAGTTGGCTGGGTTAAAAAAATCTAGTGTGATATGCAAAAAAAAAAGCCCTGGGAGGACACTGGGTTGTAGCTCAAACCACAATCTGGAGTTCATTTATCAATAGTGGGTCAGACACTGCTTGCCTGCCTCATTTCAAGTTGTTCTTTGCCCTGTGGTCGAGTTCATTGATTTCACCAGGGCTACTCACACTCTGAAGTACAAACTGTTTTAAGTGAGGGTGAAATAATAATTCTAGAGGTTTCAGACCTCTTTGTCCCCTAAAATTTTGATGCCCTCTATTCAGGGTGAAAAAGTGAATTGTGTCAGATATCTCAGGCTTGGCTAAAAGACTTGAGTTGCTTTTTAAAAAAAAATAAATTGCAAGACTACCTCTCAAAGTGCTGCAGTTTCACTTTTCGGATATGCAATTTTCATTCTATTGAATTTTTTGACGTATGGTTATATAAAGCTCCTAATAGCAAACTCTATCCACTTACACCTTGCAGAAGGCAGTAGCTTCAGGAGTTAATGCGGAATTATTTTTAGTATGTATTCAAGTTTATTCATGTTGAAAGGTAGTACTTATCTTTTGTAATTTTAGAGTAGTTATTTGAATAAAAACATGAGTATAGTTCCATTTTAACTGCCATGTGACATTTGGGAGCTGGTTAACACCTCTCCCAAGATGCGAAAATCTCAGCATTTTTTTTCTTTGCAACATCTCAGCGGCACACACAATACCTGGGTCTGTGTTTGGACCTATGTCTGTAAATGCATAAAATAGGAGTAATCTCCTATATGCTAGGAAAATATTATACCGTAAACAATGAAAGTATCCATCAGCCAGAAGAAAGTGCAATTTTCAGTGTTCTTTGTAGGAAAAGCTTGTTGAAGTTCAATTACCCTTTTGAGTCCAAATTCCATATTAAGCTGTCATCAGAGAGGCTGTTAGATAAAAATCTGTGGCTGAGTATTTTCCCTAGAGCTGGGTAAATATTTCTGTTAGCCAAGTAACTGAGCCTTTTTTCAGTTCATAGACTATCTGTGCAGAGGTTGCAACTTTCTCATGTTTTGGGGTCACTGTTTAGATAAGCCTTAAGCTGTTATTTCTACTTTCTATTGGAATAGTGAAAAACAACAGGTCTGCAAAATCAGCGTGTAATTTTGGTGGAAGGAGTTTAACTGTTTGTCCAAGAGGACATGCAGGGATTTGGCTGGGACAGACCAACACGGAGGCAATGGCAAAAGGTCAGCAAAATGTATCTTGCAAAATTTTCTTTGTTCTGCGTTTGATTTACAAGAAGGGGAATACAAACCTCTTATTTAGAGATAACTGTGGGTCTGACACTGGAAAAAAAGCTATGCAGTAAAAATAATAAGTGAGTCATGATGATAATGAGGCTATAGTTATGCAATACTGAGTTATCCTGATTTCCTTTGCAGGCAATGCACGATTGTCCATTTTGATATTCAAGGTAATCTGTGTTGCTCCTGCCTTGGGGCCTGTATTGATACCTCCGTGCAGTTCCATCCTGCAGAAGAGAATATACCAATATTTGCAGAATAATAACTTTCACAGTCTCTTTCACAACCAAACATACCATAACAGTATTTGTACTGCTTGGTTTGCTGACAGTAATGTTCAAAGAGGCATTTTATGATGTGTTTCTTCTCCTAATCTATATTTGCCTTCAGTTGATTTTGAAAACGTTTTCCAGCTCCTGAGTCCTAATGAACCAGCCATTTATGTGCTTGTCTTACAGAATCAAGCACAGAATGCCAGATTGGAAGGGACCTCAAGTATGAAGGGAAGAGACCTCAAGGATCGTGTTTCCTCAACAATAAACTCTCCGAACTCCCAAGCAGCGTTTGGCAGCTGAAGTCACGTAGCTGCTGTAGATCAGCAGATTCACAGCAATTGCTTGTGATGTGACCAATTCGCAGGAACAGGAAAGTGTGTTGAGTGACTAGTATCTGTATTTCACTCTCCCCTTGTAGCAGCCAAGAAGTTTAACAGACCATTACTGTGAGCACACACTCTTTTCTTAGACTGTTGACTGAGTGGGGTTGTGGCCATCATGACAGAACTGGCCACTCCGATGGCCGAGGTTGGACACTAGGTCTACTCAGCTCCTTCCCAAGGGCTGGACCTGCTTCTCTGGTGGTATCCCAGCTCCTCCGTGTTCCTTCGGATCTCCCCTACAGTTGGGCTGACTCCCAGAGGATGACAGACAGAGCGGGTGTCTCCTTCAGCACCCATAAAACATGACACAGCCTTTGCTCCAGCTGGGACAGCCAGGCTGAGCCACGTTGGCTGCAGCTTTTGATGTCAGGGTGAAGGGAGGGGACCTCATAAATTCATTTGGATGTGCTGCTAATGTTCATGCCAAGAGTGCGTATCTTTTCTTAATCCTTCCCCTCAATGGCATATTTCCCTGACTTGTTAATGGACCTAATTCCGGAGGACTGTAAAGAGGTCCTGGACTGAGGGAGCTATCACAATTCACTGGGATGAGACTCAGCCATGTACATGGATGCAAAGAAAACTGAAGTAATTCCTCTTTCTCTCAGTTACAGGTATTTTCTCTTGAGTTTGGAATCTTCTTAGTGAGAAGAAACTGCAAGAGATGCTCTCTCTCGCTGCTGAGTAAGAAACAAACTTTGGTAAAACTGTTATTTAAATGAAAGAACCATTTTATGTGTGCAGCTCCCAGAGGTCCTGTGGGAGCTGCCGTGCTCTTCTTACCTTAATTACAGTGTTGTTATTTGGACTAATGTGCTTAACTCCAAGCAGGTTACTGTTTTCTATTTACCATATATTCTTGCTAAATTGCTTATCGTTAACTTCTTGAGAAACTGAGGGCTTCCTTGCTGCAAAGCTCTTTTCAAAGACACTCCTGAGGAGTCAGTTCAGGTAACACACTCTCAATTTTTCGCTTTGCTCTGGTGTTTTTACAGGCAAATATTCTCCCCCACAATATTGTCCCCTCTTGCTGGCACAAGAGTCCACGTGAGCTCTCCCTGACCAGTTTCAGACATGGACCCTCCAGAATCTCCCATCACTCCTGTACCCTCCCAGCTCCTGCTGCAGGTAAAAGCTGCTTTTATTGTGTTTTTATTCCTTGGGAAGGCATCGGTCCCACTCCTCCTGCCCATTTACTGTACAAAGATGCATTTTTGTCTTCAGCCAGAAAGACTGTTAAACTTAAAGGTCCATACACTGCAGTCTCTATCAGTGGTCCAGCCTCACCACACTCGTTTGCATGCACCAAGAGCCAGCAAAACATCCCGGTTGTCTGAATAGCTGTACTTTGGATCGCTCCTCAAGGGCATCTCTTCTTCTCTCCAGGCATCTCATCCCACACACCCACCCCTGTCCCTCGCTGTGCCTGCAGCTGAGCTCCTCCAGCAGGAACAGCCAGGCTAAGCAGCAACCAAAGCATTATTTATTCACCCCTGGGCCCTCCTCGTTTTGCTAATCTGTTCATGGAATTAGTAATTGATAAATTGAGGCCATTTCCTTTCTTCCCTTCCCACCTGCACCCTTCCTTCCCCTCAAGGGCTGTGTGACTGGTCCTGCATCGTATTCACAGCGATTGCTCTGCTCCTTCTGCTGGTCTCTGCATCCAGCTTTTCTGCATTGCTGAAGCCGAGTGTGGAGAGGAACTACCTAAATCTGGAGAAACACCACCATGAATCAGACCCATTAATTCCCTGATGTTTTATTCTTTTGTTCGACTTCTCTTTAAATATATTTGGTGGGAAGTGACATGGTGAGACAGTTCCAAAAAAGTCACTATCGAAATTTCCCCAGCTAAAGCCCTGGTGCCACACGGGAATTACATACACACTAGGAACCAGGCTCCCTTCTGCCCCTCTGCTCTTTGCCACTGACAATTTTAAGTCTACCAGCACTAAAAGCAAGGCAGGAACTTGTCCCTGGCCCTGTTACAGAAGCCTCAATACAAATATTCATGGTTTTGTCCTGGGTGGGCTCCAGGCACATGGCAGTCAGCAGGAGCTGCTGGCAGCAGGTGGATGGCAGCTCTCGGGCTCTGGAGAGCTACATTACATGTTGCTTTGTTTTTGAGCTTCAAGAAAGCAAGAGAACAGCCCAGCTTCTTCTTTTTTTCAGGGGAAAATGATATGAAGCTCCTGGCAGCAGTGCCAAGATGTTTCTAAATTGACTCTTCCTCCCTCTGCCATTTAAGTCTTGTGAGAAATGAATTGGTGTAATTTGTCTGTGAATTAACATAAGGTGGCTATAGAAGTATGAGAGGTTCTTTGCCAGGCTTAGTCCATTTACAGCTTGTGAGCAAATAATTTAATTAGTGGGAAACACTTATGCTAAATGCATGCAAAGACTATTAGCTTATTCCAGGCTCAGTGGCAGCCCTGGAGAGCCCAGCTTGGGTTGATAAGGGATGAAGGGCCTTGGCGGGTGATGGGTCCCATCCTTCCTCAGATACACTTGTCCTTGCTCCCTAATCTGGTGTCTGGTACGTCTGAAACAGCTCCAGATTTCAAAGATCAAGGTGAAATGTGATTTTTATCAGTTTTGAGGCAGCATCTGCACTGCCCTACAGCAATGACCTGCAGGGCTGGGCTGGTGGCCAAATTGCGTGGTTTGGCTTGTCCAAGGACGAGCAGAGTCAGTCGAGGGGTGGCCCCAGCTGGAGGGGAGGGGGGGCTTTGTGGTTTGGGCTGGTGTCCTTGGCTCCAGCCAGTCTGGTTTCACAGGGGCCACTTGTTCACCATTCACCCAGTGCCACAGGAGCTGGGGTTGTGCTGGGTTGCTGGGGGCAGGAGGCACCTGGTGCCCCCTTCTCCCCACTTCACCTGATCCCCTCCTCCCTCTCGGCCACATCCAGGGCTGGACACAGAGGGGATGTGGTAGGAAGGACCTGAAAGCAGCAAAGCATCTCTTCTGCAATCCATTTCAGGTAGTGATTTATTCTTTTTCCCTCTGTAAAGGACCCAAACACCTCAGAAATTTTAGGGAAAATATTGCTGATCACAGTATTCACATCCATCTTTGGTAAACTAAGAAAAATAGGAAAAAAAAAACAGGTCTTGGTTTTGGGTTTTTTTTCTGTCTCTGTATCTGGCTTTATTTATACAATCCATCAAGAGATACCTCACCAACAATATTATTTAAGTTGAAATAGGAGACTCACTACTAGTCTTGAAAATTCATAAGATAAACAGATTTGGACATTTAATTTTTTGTAGCCAGTGGAAGAATAAATTGCCGAGTAAACATAGTGAAGAAAATATTTAAGCACAGGAGAAATCAGTGTTCTTTGTATGGGATCTTATACCAGGACTATATATTTTGCATGCTCTGTTTATTTTTGTATTGGGTAAGATGAAGTGTGCAGTTTGTATTGTTTGCTTAGGGAATAATTTAAACATAGCTGAGGATGGAGCATCTGTCGAACAACTCTTCAGTCAGTAAACAGTGTAAGATATATTTTTATTAAACATACCCCAACCCTTTTCCTTTACATCCCCACTGCTGAGAACAGTGGGCCCATGAGTTATCGTCAACAGAAGGCTCCAGGCTTTGCTGTGCAGGAAAAAAAGGCTGGTTTGTTTCAGAGCTGTGCATGCATCTAAATGATTTGCGTTGCAAAGAAAAGAAATGAGGGGTAGAGCTAAAGCAGCTGGGTTCCAGAAAAAATCATGAAAGTCAAATAAGTGAACACCTGAGGTGTCATCCTCCAAAAGAAAGCAGAAGTGGGATTGGGCTGGTGGATAATAGGTTTTCCCCAGGCCCACCACTTCGCTGAGCTGATGTTGGCAGATGAACGATATTGGTACCAAAAGGGTTAATGTGTCTCCTTTAGAAATGTGCTATTTACTGCTCTCCACTGAAATCCAAGAGTGGTAAATGCCAGCACACACCACGCAGGACATGGTATTCCCCAAGGGGACACACATGGAAGAAACTATGGAAACACGACCGTGTGGGTCTAGTATAGAAGGGATGTCTGGGGCTGTTGGGATTTCACCCTCTGCAGAAAACACCCTGGTCCTAGTAGAATGCCTGGGATAAATCAAACACTGTGGTTATGATTTGAAAAATCTCTTATTTGAAATCTTGTTGAGAAATTCTGTTTAAAAATAATAGGTAAACCTGGTAGAGGTGAACATACTACTTCCAATTTTTTTTTTAATTTTCATAGCTTCTGTTAGAAAACCATGCATATATGTTATTGAAGTGGACATATGGTGTAGAGCGTCCTGCCTGTCTTTCCCTGTTTTGCTCTCCCTTCCCTCCCTTTATTTGTCTGCAGCTCTCGCCCACTTCTGACCTGCAGAGACGAGATCCAAGGGGCGAGCTGGGACTTCTGTCTGCTGCCACCGTGCAAATAATAAATGATAAGACATAGGGAAAAAATATTTACACACAGAGCAGAGCTATTTTGATTATTTCTAATGATGCATGTGGAACTCTCAAGTTTGGGTACCAATTAATTAATTGCGCTCTTCATTTGGTCTAAGGGGAACCGTGGTACAAACAAGGGAGCTGAGGCTGGGACTGAGCAGCCCTTGCTGGGAACCAAATATGGAACAGCAGATGCCAGAGATTTTGCAGAGAGAGATTGGATTTGATTAAGTCTTCTGTATTGTGAGTGCTATAAATTGGGGAGCTGGGTGGGCCAGACTGAAGAAGAGAGGTGGCAGATGGGATGAGGGAAAGACAATTAATAGAAATATAAGCAAGCGGCTTTGTATTAGTTCCTGCTGCCTGTTTTGGAATGTGTGGAGTGAAGAAGGAAGCAGCAGGAGGTGGCACAGAGGAGAAGAGGCTGTGAGAGCTAAAACCTGAGGTGACAATCTTGGGATGTGAAAGTCCTTGGCCCCTCCACTGTCGGGTTGGGTGGGAGGCAGGTCTGTGTCAAAGGCATCAGCTGGAGGGTGTGGGTCAGACCAAACTGCTTTCTCATTTTGTGTGTTTCAGCCTGGAAAGGAGTATTGCAAACGGAGCCTGAGCAGATGCTAAGGAGAGTTGAGGAAGAGTTGGCAGCATCGAGCTCTGAAAAGTGTTTGGTTTTAGTTTCTTAAACAGTGGAGGAAGAAGAAGGGGTGTTTTGAGAATCATCTCTGGTGTTGGGGCCAATGTGCCTCTCCAGAAGGGCTTGACTGCCCACATTGCTTAAAGAAAGAAAAAAAAGGAAAAAAAGGGACAAACAGGAATGTAGTCCTCAACTCCCCGCAGCAGGCTGAGAAAGAGGGACAGGAAAAGAGGAGCTGCAACAGAAAAGCGTTAAATAGACACTCAGACAGGCTTCATGATAGAGACAAACTTTTAAGATCGGTAAGAAACAGTGAGGACAAGCCTGTTCAATAAAAAGCTGATGACAGGGCACCACAGGGACAGTAAGCACTAAATGACATCATTTACCACTGTGGTTGTTATCACTCATTATCCTGCATTATGCTGTAGATCCTATTATATGCTGCTTAATACAAATCTGGCCCCTGCTGTGGCAGGCACAATACATAAAAAGAGAAAAAAAAAAAATCATTCCTTGCCCCAAGGAGTTCATGATGGAGAGTAAGGAGTGTTTCTATGAAAAATTGCATCATCAGTTCTGCGGTGGAGGCTGTGGAAGACAGTGACACGTCGACAGCCTTTTTCTGAGAGTTCAGTTTTGTAACAAAGCAAATTAGATATATAAAAGAGAAGTGACTGTTGACTGAGTAGATTACAAAGAGAACCTTGGGAGGTGTAGCAGTTCAAATTTGTTGAGGAGGAATGATTCATTTTCGTGGTATAGAGATGCTGGAGATTTCATTTAATCTTGGATTTTAGTAGGCTACAAATCTTCACCCCTTCCATCTCAGAGACAAACCCTATGTGGTTTAGTGGTATTTGTGGCTTTCATTTGAAACTTGACAGTCCCTGGTACCCACTTTTGCTTTGACATGGTGGCTTCTTCCAATGAAGAACCCATACATTCAGCAGGTAATAAATGCCAGAAAAGAGAAGGATGCAGGCAAAGTCTTGTGATCCAAAATGATCTCTTTTTAAACAACTCCAGGAGGTCTGTATAACACAACAGCAGCCTGAGATTAGGGGAGGAACAGAAGTCAGCAAGAAGCGATGGCTGGGATGAGGCTGTGATTTTTAAGAATGAGCCTTATTCTATAGAACTTGCCATATTCCATTTATTTCCTTAAAGTCCTCATCAGCCGCAGAAGTTTCCTCTGTTGTTTCATTGCACTTGACAATAGAAGAGAATTTTCCTCTCTCAACTGACAGATTAACCATTATAGTTAGTGAAAAATACTGTCCGGCAGGGTTAAGTCATTCCACTTAGATGGCTTTGACTTTGCTATACCAATTATTAATTTCCATGAAGTTCAAAATATGTTTTATACTGATAAAGCTTCTTAAAGCGTTTCCTCTAAAGCTGTATTAAAGAAAGTGGTGCTTGCATAAGTCCTTTGGAATATCTAATGTGCCATGGCTTTTGCTATAAATATTCACCCGTTCATTATGTGCACTAAGCCTCACAAGTGGGGTAGCTATTGATTATTTTACCGGTTACAAGAGAAAAGTCTTGGATACTTGGTCTGAAGAAGCTCACAAAGCAATCTGCTGCTTTCAGTCTGGCCAAGTGGGCAATTATTTTCCTAGATTTCCCACCTTCTGTTTCCTCCTGAGTTTTATATATTTTTCTGCTTTTATGTTGGAAATTAATTTGCTGCCTGTACAAGGCACTTGACTGACAGGATTAACCCAGAAAAATCTCACTCCTTCCAAGTCCGGGAAGGTTTTTCACACCGGGGAAAGAACTTTAAAAAATGTGAGGTTTGGGGGATAACGTGGCTCCTGGCAGCTGGGGGAGGCTCGAGCTGCCCCACTGAAAATTCCCTCTTCTGCGGGGCTGACCAGATTTAATGGCTCCATCTGTGTGATGGAGCAACTCCTCGCACAATTTGCCCAAATTATCCTTGTTTATCGTTCTCACTGCCTCCTCATTTAAAACGCCTGCGGGCTCAGGGTGATGAAAGGCTGGTCCAGCATCTGCAGTGGGCTGAGAGTCGCTTTGGGGTGTTTGTCCACGCAGTTCCAGACAACTCAAATATTCTGACTGCTAATTGATTCCCTGCTACCCTCTCTAACAGGTCCAATAAAGCAGCTGAAAAGCTGTCAGTCTGGTGTGTTTTAGGCACCTTGGAGCAAACGTAGCGTGTTTGGCTGCTAATGAAACTGCTGGCAGCTGAAGGACGTGTTGCACTGACATGCCATCAGCTCTGGGGCAGCTTTGTTTGCTGCCTTGCTTTTCCCTGTCATTTGTCACCCAGAAATCATTTCCCAAATCTCATCTTCTGTTATAAAAGTATATAAAATCATCTTTCTCTTACAAAAAAGAAGACCCAACACCTTGCACGGTCTTCTCACCTCCTCCCCACGGTTCAGGAGGTTCACAGACACCCTGGATGTGACCTCCAGTTAATCCTGACATTTCGGAGTGGAATATTTCCCTTATTTCTGAATGTCAGAAGTGAGTTTGCTGATTAAGGGAAAAACAAGGTCTATCACCATGGGGAATGCTTTAAGAAATCAGAAAAATGTCATCTTGCTATGACAAACGCCACTTAGCAATGATAAAATGCCGTTTAATAGCAGCAGAGGTTATTTGCTGCTGATGTTGCAGAAGTCTGGAGCTTCGAGGGACTAGAAAAGCTTGATCTGCATTTTCAGCTTCATAAGGGAAAAAGAGGAAAAAGTAAAACGTGTGATTCATTACTTAAAATAAGACAGTAGGTAGGAAGTGAGGGAAGATGACTCTCCTACCTTCAAAAGGAAATATGTCCTAAGACCCATCTGGACTGTCTGAAAGAGCAGGCAGAGCCACTATTGCTGAGTTACAGCTTTTGGCACTAATTTCCACCGCAGCACCTTCATTTCTGTCTGAAATTACCCTCGTGTCACTGAGCTCGGTTCAGATCAGGAACTGGGTTAGGCTGAACTGGGAGAAATTAATGTTAGCGGGGAGCAGGCGGCCTCGATGCAAACGCTTGTGGCACCGACAATTCACATCCTGGATGTTCTGAGCTGATTTCTCAGCGGGGACAAGCCCTGGGGATCTGACTCTGATTATCTGAACCAGGAAACTCCCTTAACGTTGTGCTGACTTCAGTCTGGACCCCTCCTGCAGGCATTAACCACGCAGCTGAGACTGGATCAGCTCCAGGTGCTCGGTGAAATCCCAGGAAATTGCCTCCTCTGGTATGAAACTGCACCAGGCGGGAGATGGGAACAGCAGCTTTTGCTCATGATAGATGAGCCCTAATTTATTTCTCCTGTAAGAGATTTTTGGAGACAAGGTCACCCTATAAATAATGTTTAAATTGTAATATTGTTAAATACCTTTCTCCTGTAGGAAAAAATAAATTGCTGCCTTCTTTCCTTATTCCAGGTAATAGGTAAAACCTCCTCAGGTCCAATACTGTCATTTATTTTATACGATATATCTATGTTTTTGTATAAAGTGTGTATATATATATATGTGTGTGTATACATTCATATAATAGATATGTATCTCTATTATATAAATGTTTTTCAGGAGAAAGATAATTCATGGAGTGATGCCTGATCCAGCTAAGATCTTCATGGGTCCATGAGAGCCAAGGACAGCCACCACAGCCACAAGGTGACACATGGCACTGTCCGTGGGGGACAGTGTGTGGCCTCTTTGGGAGTGTGGCATCACAGCACTTGCTTTAAAGAGGACTTCTTCTGGCTCCTGAGAAATGGAGAGATGTTCTGATCATGCCTGAGAGGTGATGGACAAAAAGTGCCTGAAATCAGACATCAGAGACACCAGCGTGAGGAGGGAAGGGGGCATCGTGTCCCTGTTTCCAGGGGGAGGTGGCAGCTCAACCCTTGCAGGGCCAGTGTGGTTTTGGCAGCACGTGAGGCTGATGGCTCCGTGTCTGATGCGGGACATGAAGTGAGTGAACTCCAATCTGAACCTCTTCCTAGAAAGCCTCAAATCTGGCTTTGGTCTGATATTAAGCAGAAGAAACAGGGACAGATGACTTCCCATCCTGACTCCTTGATTTATTCTGATTTTCTTCCCTGGGGGCATGGGGCAAATTAAACGTAGGGGCCATTGCTGACAGATAGTGTGGCACATGCAGCGTGGGGACCCCTATTTCCCAGAACTACCTGTCATTTGTATTCTCTTTGTTTATGGCTTCATTACGGAGTGGCTGACCTTTGCCGAGCAGCTTGTCAGAAGCAGAGGTTTCAACGTGATGGTTGCTGCCTCCTAAAGTGAGTGAACTCCAATCTGAACCTCTTCCTAGAAAGCCTCAAATCTGGCTTTGGTCTGATATTAAGCAGAAGAAACAGGGACAGATGACTTCCCATCCTGACTCCTTGATTTATTCTGATTTTCTTCCCTGGGGGCATGGGGCAAATTAAACGTAGGGGCCATTGCTGACAGATAGTGTGGCACATGCAGCGTGGGGACCCCTATTTCCCAGAACTACCTGTCATTTGTATTCTCTTTGTTTATGGCTTCATTACGGAGTGGCTGACCTTTGCCGAGCAGCTTGTCAGAAGCAGAGGTTTCAGTGTGACAGTATCTGGCTCCAAAATGTTACCTGGGAGAAAGGCAAAGCCCAAAGGCAGCCCTTGGAAATCCTTCTCCTTATTCTGGGGGGTGTGTAGCAGAGTGGCTACAAGCTTTTTTTGGTGTTGATGCTTGAGAGTGACAAACTGTGGCTGTTTCCTTTGAATGTGCCATTATTGATGCGCTGGCCATTAGGTTTCCCCAGCAAATGGATGGGATGTTACTGGCGTTTGTTTTAAAGGTTTAATTTTTAATAGAAATTTGGCACTTGATACCATCGTATTGATTCGGAGAACAGCCCATTGTAGCAAACCTGCATATATATTTAAATAATTATTCTACTAAAGGCCCTTGCTGTCCTTCTGTAGCCTCATTACTCAGGTGTAATCTCTGAACAACAAATGAAACATTTCTGCTATTGTGTGGCAGAAGGAGTTTAGCCACTGAGCCTGTCTCAGTCCACAGGGATGTGTCAGCAGTGAAAGGCTGACTGATGGCTGAGATCCAGGCTGTTTCCCTTAAACAAGGAGAAATAGTAACCTTGAATCAGGAGACGAGGAGGTTGTAATTTAAAAGAAACTTAGAAAGAAAAAAAAAAGGCATTTGCTTGAGTCTGCCTTCAACAAATTAGTGGAAAGGTTAAAAACTTTTCTTCCTTTGAGCAAATTTGCTGGAACACGACGCGACCTTGCAGCAGTTCCACCAAAAGATGCATCACCTGTTTTATGAGTGGGTGTATTGCAAACACCATCTGGAAACACCGTTCTGAGGGGTATCATCTGGAGGTGTTCTGGCCAGGATGACTACCTGGGGTAACACGGTGCAGTGACAAATCCCAGAGCAACCCAGCTCGTTTGCTGGGTTCATCCCAGAGGTGGCTGCAAGGAAGAGACGAGCCCCCGCTGCCTGGGGCAGGTTGGCCCTGTTACCCCAGCACCTTTCCAGGTCTGGGCTATGCTGAGCTTGAAGGTAAGTCTCCAGGGGTCATGTCTCCTCAGGAATTTTTGCCTCTGCAACACGTGGTACCTTGCAGTGGAACAAGTCTCTCTGCTTTCCCAAGCTCAGGGCTGTGTCTCCTCTTGGATGAGATTCAGTCAATGAATTCTGTTTCTCCCATCCCCTCAGAGATAGAAGAATTTAAGGGATGGATGGATATCTCCTGATGAACACCAGGAGCTTGCATTAGTAATCACTCAATGCCTCTCCTGGAAGCCTTACCCAGTGCTCAGAGGACACAAAGACACAGGTACTGTGACATGACAAAGGTCACCAATGGGAATACTATATGGTGATGGTAAAAGTGAGATACCCCAACTAGTTACCAACCACCATTAGTCCAGGCAGTGGGGAAATACAGTGTGCTGCATTAACTGAATTCTCAGTTTAAGAGAATCCATCTTTACTTCCATCTTTAGAAAAGAAAAAAAAAAATCCCATTCCAAACACTCTAGAAACCTTTATAGGGAAAGCAAGGAATTACTGGTACTAAGAGAAGATGCTTACAAAGGTTAAACAAGTGGGTTGTCCTGCCCCAGTGAGTCAGAGAAACCTCAGGTTGTGACATGGCTGATTTTTGTCCATTGGGGAAGTGTGACACAGACCCTGCCGTAGACTTGACCTTCAGAGGTGAGAGAAGGACTTCCATCAGTCCCAGTGATGTATCTGCACACAGGGCTGGGGGGTCAAGCTCCCTGCTTCACTGCAGTTATCCAATGCGAAGACTAAGACGAGAGGTGGGAAGTTACCTTAATTGCCAATTCATTTGGCTTAAAAGTACATTTCTGCCTCTCTGGAGTGCTGCTGGACATGAGAGAGACTTGCCGAGGAGTAAAGTGCAGTAGTTTTGGTTCAGCAGGTCCTGTTTTTGCCAGGTAGAAGCCTGGAAAATCACAGGTTGCAAAAGCAGACGGGCTTAGCCTTAACTACAGATGCGCTGCCATAATTACGGATGCTCTTTATGTGCAGAGCCAAGTCTGTTGTGGGACTTTTTTTTCTTGTCTGGAATTAATGAAGGAATCTAACAGCCCCATTGACTGAGCACATCAGCAGTCAGTTAAGTGCATCCTGTCAGCAGAAGGTAATTTTAATACTAGGCCGGTGGCCTCTCGCTAATTAAAATAAACATGTATTATTTATTTTGGGGATTCTTTCCAAGAAGGAAAATACAGTTTGGAAAGGCTTTGAGAGCCGATTGCCTTCCACAGCCTGGTCTGTGCTTGAGACTGACATGAGGAGGATCTGGGAGGAGGAAAGGATGAGAAGGATGAGGAGGAACAAAAGGGGTTGAAAAGCTCAGATGAGTCTCAAAGCTGGAAGAGAATCAAATCAATGTCAGGAATTAGAGAAAGAACAGGCAGGGAGAGAACAGAAAAAGGAGCAGAACAAAACCAAAGATGACAGACAAAACGTGATTGATTGGGAGGAGGGTGGCAAAAGACAGCTGAGTGACTGGTGGGGGTAACGGCAGAGATATGAGCCTGGGGGTCTGGAGACATTGTCACTGGGATCTTTAAGGGTAGGCTGGAGAACCATTTGCCAGGAGTGACGTTGCTGTGGTTGCTCTTTGGGGAGGAGATGGTGGAGATGACCTCTGGAGGGCTCCTCCTGCTCTGGTTGAGGTCAGGCATCCCATGGCCCCCATTCTCTGCCTGTGTCCCACAGCAGCCTTCAACCCAGAAGGGACCACAGGTGAGATTTTTCTCCTGGGTCTCTTGCCAGTCACCACAGGAGGTAGCCAGCTGAGGTACAGGCTTAGAGACTCCTGCCTGGCCAGCAAACTGGCCATCATCACATACATACTGAGCACACATGTGGACCCCAGCTGCAGCACGTGCTGCCCTTGTCCTGCTGTGTTTGTTCTGGAGCAGATATCAGGTAAACACATCTTTCCTCTGGGAACTGGGAGGAACTGCCCAGTACCTCCACAGTGAATACAGTTAATGGCAAAACAGCTGTCCATAAAACATCTGTATGTGTAGGTGAAGTAAGGGGCGTGCTCTGACCCCAAAACCACAGCCCTCAGGGGCTTCCCCTGCTGAGCAGATGACCTTCCATGGTGGCTGCTTGTCCTTCAGAGAGCATGAGGCTTGGCGTGCTCAGGTGGTTGCATGGCTGGAGATCTTTTAACCAGGTGCAGATTTGAGCTTGGGACCCACAATCTCCAAAAGGCAGGGTATTTCACACCTTCCAACTTCCATCTGCTCATTCTTACTTTATGATTCTTCTTCCTTTAACCCCCGGAGACCTTCATGTCCAGGGAATGCCATGTTGTGAATGCATCCATGTCGCAACTGAATGAGCTTCCGAAATTTTCCAGACTGCTGCAGAAAAGCCCTCATGGATCCCTTGGGATTCCTGTGTAAATATGGACTCGGGGAGGGCCTGAGCTAACAACTTGTTAGTTGATTAGATAAATTCCTTAATATTGTCTAACTCCCATGAGGTTTCTACTCTTTGATGCTGAAGCTAAAGGTCAAGAGTAACACAGAGTCACCACAATACATTCAAATGTGAGATTAAAGGTGTGACATTGCTCGTCTGCTGCAAACTAGTGACTGTTCTCACACCAGAGCACTTGCCTAAATACCCTGTTGATGGGTGAATGTTTTCCTCCCTCCTGTAACTATTTCACACCACAGGGAAATCAAAATCCGCTTTCGAAACTGCTATAGACACTGCCTATTTTTAATAGGGTGTTTATGGAAAGGTGCTCAGCACCTCCTACGTGGATCTCTGCTCCCACTGAGCAGTCAGCACCCTGCAGGATGAGCCCTGTGTTGGCATCAGTTACCGAGGAAACGGCCTGTATAGAAATGGAGCATCTGTTTCTATTAGCAACCGCAGCTTCTGCATTTAAGTGCGTATTAGTGCATTTAAGCTCCTCATTAGCGAATTGTGTTTGTTTGTGGGCTTTTGCAAGTTTGGGGGCTGCGTGGTGAGAAAGGGGTTGCCACAGGAGAGCAGGTTGCTGTCAGTGGGACAAACAGTGGGGGGAGGCAGGAAAGGGGATTCCTATGTTTGCCCATGTAAGAGCTGGGCATCCCCTCCAAACCCGCACACACTCCTCCTATAAAACACAGAGGTTTCAAAGCCAGAGATGTGCCTGGCCACCTGCGAGGAGCAGAATTCAGTGTGCTTAAGTACTGTGCCACCCAGAAAAGCCCAAATGAACTTCTCCATGTCCAGAAAGCTTTTCCCAGCCAGCGAGGACAGACGGACGCTTTGGATAGCAGAGGAGTGAGGTAACATGGGAACGCTCTTGTGGGGTAGTTCTCTTTCAGAAACAACAGGATGCTGCCAGTATGTTCCTGTAGCTATTCCCGGTAGGTACACGGAGACGGAAATGATTTGTGCTGTGATGACTAAAGCAGTGCATGAAGAGCCATCAGCGGTACCTTTCGCTGTCAAAAGTGCCGGGCTCAACGTCTGCGGGCGAGTTGGAGTGGGACTGAAGCCAACAATGATGAAGGGGGATGAAGCACGACGTCTGCTCCGTGTTCCCGGGTATCCGCACGTCTGCCACTGTGCATCCACAGCAGGGAAAGAGAGGCTAAAGAGAGCTGGGGGTGGGAGGGTGAAAGGCTGCGAAGCAAGAGCAATTTCACTGAAGAGCAATGCAAATAGCCCAGCAGAAGGGAAAGGCACAGCTTTCACGGGCGAGCAACCACAACGAAGTTGGGAAA